GCGCTGAGGGCTGGCGGGGCTGCCCTGCCCTGCCGGGCCGCCTTGTTTTCTCTCTTTCTCCTTTCCTGACCCCCAAGAGGAACACACCCCAGCTATGAAATTAATCCCGAAGGGGTTACAAGGCTCTCTAGGTGCCGGGCTGTATATTTTATTTTTCCTCCCCCGTGTGCTTAGGTCTCAGCCCGTGCACATCAGATCTCTGGATACACAAAAATCGTGTCTCCTGGAGGGTGAGGGAAGAGGCAGGTGGTAAAGTTAGCGTCTCTTCGCCTTGGATGGGTGTTTAGCAGCCTCCCGGGCTTCAGAAATGGTCTTGCCGGTGCCTCATCCGATTTCAACACTTGTGTGGTCAAATAGTCGGAGTTTTACTGCCGCAGGTACAGGGAGAGATGTGTGTGTCGGCCTGAGGAGCCCCTGTGCCTCCTGGCCTCGGAGCTGCAAATACCGGCTGGAGGACAGCTGCTCTAAACCTTCAGAGGATTAAAACCTGTTGGGAGAGTGGCAGGTTGCAGAATCCTAACACCCTTCAAAGCGAGCAGGCTGACCCTGTCATGGGTTTGAAACAAAATATTTATGCTGTGTTGGGAAATAACACATCTCCTCTGTAGTTAGCTTTGCAGATGAGATTTCGGTTAGCTTTGGAACACTTCCTTTCCCTAAAGCCTCTCCTTCCTTGGGGGAAGGCTGAGAGAGTTAAGGTCATGGCTTAGGTTAGCTTTAACGTGCTTTTCCTCTTTAATCTGTGCCCAGTGTATATTGCATAGGTCACTTAGGTATATGATTAGAAACAGTGGATTGATTAAAATCTCTGATTTTAATTGTGGTTTAAGAAATAGAGTTAATCTAGCATAGTGACTGGCATGCAGTTAAACTTTATGGAATATCTGGAAATGGTTTTAATTTTAAACTAATGAAATCTACTGAATAAAAGCTTATCTAGTTCACAACTCAGTGCTGGTTTTGTTAGCAGTACCCTTAACAGGTTTAGAACTAGAGGGTTTTGTAAATTCACATTTTACCTTGTAGATGGAGGAGGAAAACGAGTACTTGTTTGGAACTGGGAGAGGGTTTGGGTCGTGCCTTTAAATTTGAGGGAAGAGTTCACTGGCTCAAAGGAATAGAAGTTCTCTGTACGTGCTGGAGAGTAATGCTGTGAAATGCTTGTCCCTGCTGCTTAGCCACTGATCTCTTATCACCTAGGCTTAAATTTATTCAAAGCTTTAGCAAGAAACTTGTGCTACTTATTATTTTTGCTGTAATGTCCTAACACATTTGAGTTATTAGGAGCCTAATATCAGCTTTTAAAACAAATGATATTTATCCGCAATAACTATTTTTAGAATGTATCCAGTTTTAAGTCTTAGCTCATTGTAAATGATTTAAGGAAGCCGCTTTAAATATTTGAAGTGCTCTTAAGCACGAAAGATGCTTAAGATACCTGAAAGTATTTGTTAGCAGCTTTTAAAATTTTTAACATTTTTGATAGTTGAGTCTTGCAGACTTCAGATTATTCCTTGTCTTTCCCCTCTCATATGCCAACTGAGGTTTTTTGCTTTTTTCTGACTAACAGAATAGCTGGTATGTGTGACATCACTGTCCAAGGTATTGTATTCCATGGGCAAGTGTATTTCTTTTTTTTAAAAAAAAAAAAAAGGCCGCTTGGGAATGTTGGAAGACAATGCAAAACCAGCCACTTCCTAAACTCTGAATAATTGTAAATTCATCAAATTAAGAAGGTATTCCCATCATAACTCTGTATCTTTTTAGCTCATTTTTTTGTGATTTTTGTGCTAAAGCAGAGGATTGTAAAGAAACACTGTGGAATAATAATTTGTATTTCATCAGTTCATATTTTGTGCCTCCTTTACGCTGATCTGCTTTACACACAGCAGTTGTTTTTTCTGCAGCTTGGGTTCTAAGTCCCACGTGTTCTCACAGTGACATTTCACTGTGGGAAGGCAGAGCCAGACTCTTCCCCGGGAGGGGTAGTGGAATGATGAGAAGCAGGAGACACAGGCTGGCACATGGCAAATGCTGATTGGGCATAAGGAAAGGAAAATTGCCGTGAGGGTGCTCCCCAGACGGGCTGTGGGATCTCTGTCCTCGGAAGTCTTCAAGACTGGACCGGACCCAGCCCTGAATGAGTAGGCTTGTTGGCGCAGATGAAACTCTGGGTGTGTATGTAGGTATGTGTACAGGGGATTGCCTAAAATTGCCACGCACCTTTCGTCTCTTCCAGGTTTGTAGCTGCCTGTTTTAAAGAGGGTTTTCTTTGTGCTTCATGTGACGTGCTGAGTAGGCGACCAGTCTGTAGTATTTCAAGTCTGAATAAAGGTAGATACTGGCCACCGGATGGGGAGAAAGTGTGCTTTCCCAGACTGAGGAAGGAGCTTCCTTCACTGATTTTTGTGGGAAGGTAGAGGGAGAAGCTTCAGGGTGACTGTTCTGAGGATGAAGTGCCTTCCAGGCTATTCCGAACCAAAACTTAAGGCACACTCCTCCCGTTGGATCCTCTGCCCGGGTGTCTCGGAGACGGGGTGTTTCAGTGGTGATGGCCTGGCCGTTCCACGGGCGCCCAACACCACAGGTTTGGTGGGTGCTGTAAACGCCACCTCAGGTTTCACTCTGTGGGAATTGAATCAATAGTTACTTAACCATTAAACAGAGGAATATAGAAACATAACTGGAGACAGTTCACATTTAATGGAAACATTAATTTCTTTAGCTCTCTTGCATTTCAAAAAAAATCAAACAGATGCACCAAGGTCTGCCTAAAATCCCAGTCTGACTCGAGCTCTAGCCTGCTGTCCCTGCCTGAGAAGGTCCCATTTTAGAGTACACCAGCCTAAGGGGTAACTGTGTTTTAGTCCTGGTGAGGAAGGAAGGGAAAAGGACAAGTTGGAATACTTTGAAGTCTGAATTAATAACGAACAACTTTTAAAACTTTCAATGTTTTAATATCACATATGTAGAAATTCTTGTATGTGGAAGACATGAGTAAACCATGAAACCAAATTTCATTTTGATAAGTAGCTGGTTTCTGACCAGAAGTTGAAATGAGAGGAGTTCAGCTCTGGGCTGTTAGAGGTCAGCAGTTCTGCAGCCCTGTAATGGCAGTGTAAAGTGAGCTGATACTTGCCTGACATTTTTTATGGTGATAGGTAAATAATCACAATGCAAGCTTAGTAGAGGCTGCTGGTTTACTTTAATTTTTTTTTCTGCAAAAACAGGCCTGCGGTGCAAATGAGTGAAGATGTCACCACACTTCAAACTTAAGTAATAGTTTAAGCTTCAATTTGATAGGATGCTAGCTGGAAAAACAGGGTCAAGACCTGGCAGAGAAGCAAGAGCAGTGTGTCTGTTTGCTCCTGTGTCCATGCACCCAGTGCTTGTAGTTTGTTTTTTAGAACAAGCAGTTTACTTGTAAGTTTTCAGAAATTTTGCAAAAGGAAATAAATGCACGCACTGAGACTGTTGTTCCTGGACAGAGTTCTGGTGGTTCGTTATCTCACTCCTGCAACTTGCCTTAGTCTGTCTCTAGAAAGTTTAGAAGATTGAACCTTGCTGAATTATTCTGTTTAAAAAATAAAAAAAGGGGGAGATAGTAATTTGTATGGGAGTGCATGAAAACCAGAACTGCTTGAACTGTCTACATAACCACTTCTTGGAGTAACTTCATCACTTGCTGGAGCGTGCAGGTTTAATTGAATGTAAAATGTGTTTTACTAACGTGGGTGTATATTGTCCTGTGAACAGTGAGCTGTGTCTATATTGTTTGCTGTCTCCTGAGGTGGGTGGTGGGGTCAGGCTGCTGGTATCAGTGGATTCATGGCCCAAGGCTTCACTCTGCCAGAGTGGAATGAAAAAAAATCTCTGGTGATAAAAATGAAGGATGTCTGATACCACAGATTTTTTGAGATACACTTTTGAACATAGACTCTTGGTTTACTGTGTTAAGAGAGAAGCATTTAGGTGTTGCTGTTTGAGGGGGGGGGAAAAAATAATGTTGTAGAATGGTAGTATTTTTGGAAATTAATTTGAATTCAAGGGCTTAAGCAGAGTTGTTTCCAGTGCAGTGCTCACATTTAACTCAAATCCTCTAGAAGGAGCAGATGTAAGTTAAAATAGCCAAGTTCTGAAAATATTTTTAGATGACCCTGTAGCATATCACTGGGGTTAATAACCTGTTACTTTGACCTTCCTCCCCACCCCCTTTCCTCTCCCAAGTTGACAAGCTTTTCAGGCAATTTCCTCAAAGTATGCCCTGGAGAAACATGGTGTTAAAAATTCAAACACAACATTGCAGGTGGATGAGCTGCTGTTCTTCCTTTGACTAGGTGTGTGATTGTTAAAATGATTTTAGTGTTTTTGGGGAGCAGTTTTGTCTTCTGCAGTGATTTGAGCTACTCCCAAATGCTGGTTTAGTTGGAGGAAAAATTTAGCTGGAGGAAAAAAATTTACTACGTGTCCATTACACATTGGTAAAAATGCACTTGTTTAGGTGGAGACCTGTGTGGGAGGTGTTAAAGAAGTCCTTTGCATTCCTTACCCAGCACTTAAAAAACTTTATTCCTGATGTTCCTTACCGTAAGTTCAAATTTAATGTTCCCTTTACTGTGTTTCTATATAAATGAAGATAAATGGTGCCCTGAAACCTTAAGTTTGGTTCAAGTCTGACAAGTGTTACTAGTTGTGATGAGCCCAGGTGCTCTGCTCTTCAGCAGATGTGCTGTGGAGTGTAAGTCCTGTACACTGCAGGGTTTATGGATGTTGCAGGCATGCTTACAAAGGTCACTCACCTCTGCTTCTTAAAGAATCTGTTTCCGGAATTAATGATTCCCAAGGGAAGCATCTTATATGGATATTTTACACCTTCAGACTACATACAAATTGCATACAAGTAACTGTCTGGCTCTTCACCAGGAGTTCTGTTTGGAAGTCTAAAGTGACTTTTTTTTTTCCCCTCAAAAGACTCCTAAACTCTGGCAAACACTAGCAGACTTATCTGTTAAAAAGCTCTTGAATTCTCATGTTAGAAATGAGAAGTTGGAGCTCTAGACATGCTTTGTTACTGGAACTGTGTTGTTTGGTTTTTGACTTATCTTCTGTTCTTATGTTTTATTTTCAGCTCAAGCTTGTGCAGATGTCCTGGCATTAGCCAAAGAAGCTAGAAAGCGAAATCTTGGTCCTCTTCATCCTTCCTTTAATGTGATAAAGATAATAAGAGATGGACTGATGAGAAATCTTCCAGAAAACACTCACCAGTTGTCATCGGGCAGACTGTGTATTTCACTGACCAGAGTATCAGATGGTAAAAACGCATTGATATCTAATTTTAACTCTAAAGAAGAAGTTGTCCAGGTATGTTCAGTTTTGGCAACTTTAAAAAGTTCCTGTAATCTTAAATCCATTTAATGTCATCTATTGGATTTCCGTTTTAAACATGTTTAGGATATTGTGACTTTTGACATATTTTAAAGAGGAATTCAAGCTTCCTTGCCCTACATTTGCTCACAAGCCTCCCCAGTCAGTGTGTCTGAACTGTTTCACTGAGGAGGTGCAAGGGGTCAATCACAAAAAGGATAAAGGCCTTTAAAGTGCAGTGTAATAAATGAAACTATATCCTTCAAGAATAAGATTTTTTTTAAACTTTATTCTTATTAAAGCAGTGATCAAGAAACAGTCAAACCCAGCTTTTTAAGATTCTCTGTATTGGTTCCAAAGGTAGTTTAATATGATCCCAGAATGTTGATATTTGTGTCTCCAGTTAGTTACTTTGGTTACTCAGAAAATGTATAGCTTGAGTGGATGATCATAAACTTTTCCTTGCTAATTAACGCTTCGGGAAATGGTCTAGTGAGTTTTAGCATTTTTTTTACATGGAGTGTGGTTACATTCTATAAAAGAAATGTGGAATGCTCTCATCCTGTTTAAAATAATGCTTGATAATATCCCCCCCTCCTTTTTTATTCAAGTGCATTTGCAGGAGACTTTTTTGGTTGCTTTCTCGTTTTTTTTGTTCATATTTAAGGAGATAAATGATCATTTCAGTAACAGAACAGTTACCATTTAATTTATATGGTCTCATTTTCCTACAGGCTTTAATCTGTAGTTCATTTGTCCCTATTTATTGTGGCCTAATTCCACCGTCATTCAGAGGTGTGGTAAGTCTCTATTCTTAAGATCTAACAATAGTTTTGGCTATTCTGGAAATATTGAGGCAGTGTATATGCCTCTAGGTTATCCTACTGTAAATTATCTTCATCATAGCTCCTACTGCTGTAGCTGTGTGTTACAGCTCTTTAAAAAAGCAAGGAAATGCAAATGTGTGGAAGATGGGTTATGTGTATTTCTTCTTCACCCTGTAAAACACATGCACACTTGTTCTGTCTTTTAAATTTCTTGCTTGCTGATGCAGTAATTGAAAGAGTATTCTACACTAGCAAGTATTAAGCTTAAGTATGTATTGAAGAAAGTGATGCTCATTCACCTGCACAAATGTGTAGGAGGGGTCACTCATGCTTGTTTGGTTTTAAAAAAAGAATTTTGTAAGATAGTTTATTGTATATCATTATGTTCTTGCTGTAGGTAGATCTGCCTTAAAATGGAATTAAAGGTCGATGTTCAGTTAGATATAAATAAAGCTTTTTAATGTTTTCTGTCATTACACATTCAGTGGAAGAAAGGTGGCTTTGGAAAGGTGAAGGGTCAGTGTATTAGTCTGTTCTATCACTTCATGGAAACTTGATTACAAAACCTCTTAAGACTTCATGTCTGTACTGGGTTTTTGGCAATCCCCCATTAAAGGGGCAGCAACTGCAGAAAAGTTTGTATAGTTTATTGTCGGTGTTTTGCTGAACTGGTCTGGAAGCAGACACACACTTCAAATCAAGGCAGTGAAACTCAGCAGCTTTTTGTTACTGTATTAACTTGCATTTGCTTTCCTTCTCATTCTGGTGCTCCTTGCACAGGGAAGAATATTGAAAAAAAAAATAAAAATCAAACCTCAAAACATCTTTAACAGTGGCTGGTTACAGACTGTTCTCAAGACAGGCTGGGAGTGCTGGAAGGTCAAGGATAGACATGACATATATTTTCTTTTCATGCTGAAATTTAAGCAAAAGTGATTACAACTGTATAGGGATTTTTCTTTATCTGTACTTCTAAACCTTGTCTGTCTCCTTAAACCCTTCCAGATTAAAGGGGTTATGAAAACGGAACGTTGGACTGAATCCAAGGTTTAGGTGGATCCAGGCTAATCTGGCTCCTCAGTTCTTGTCACCAGACAACAATGTTATTTTAAAAGGCTTAGTTCAGAGTGCAAAAACACAGAAGCGATGCTTTATTTGCTCACACTTGAGGGAAGGGGAAGGAAGGGATCATTGTATACTCTTGATCTTTCCAATTATTTTGGTATGATTTGAATGCTTTGGAAGCATTTTTGCTGTCAGTTGGTAAGAATACCACAGCTGCACAGGCTTGGTGTGACTCCTGTAGGCTTCAGCACCAGCGGAATGTTGGGTATGTCAGGTTTATAGCATCTTGCCTTTACTGGCTTGCTGCTTCCTGTGTGTATACTCTAAAACAAAGACTTAAGGATGACTTTCAGTAGGTGTCTCTTCACAGCCAGTTGTGAAGCTTCTGGGTGTGGTGGGTTTTGTCTGTGGATTTTTTTCTTAGCCTTGTCAAACACAGCAACAGTTCTAGATCAAAAAAATTACTAGGGGGAACAGATAGGCGGAAACTCCAAATAATTAAAACCATTTACCTCTGTAGAACAGTGACTCAGATGTGTATTTCCACCTTTTAATAATTTCATCAGAAGACTGCATGCTGTGGCTCCTCCTTTGCCAAACCTGTTGTCACACTTGGGGATTGCACATGCACCTTGGTGATTGTGTTAGATGTTACACACCTGTAGGAAGTTTGTCAGCAGCTGCAGGCTGCTGGTCTAGAGAATGTCCAAGAAAGCTAACGGGTGGAGGAACAGGGTGCTCAAGAAGGGTATGTTGGATGAATTGCTATGAGCTGTCCTCTTTAATTCTTAATTTTTTTCTCAGAATGGTCAGGGAGTATCAAGGCAGATGATGTTGGTAATCCAGGCTGCTCCTGCTCAGATCACCCACTCTGTTACCTTTACATGTGACAAGGACCCACTGGTTATGTCTGTTGCCTAGTTAGGAAGAAGGAAGATGCAGCCACCAAACCAGTGAAGCTGCTGATGTGGAGCAGTCTTCTGCCCAAAGCCAACAAACTGGCTGCAGCTGGTGCTGCTGGAGAGACAGCTGTTGTGAGTGACTGGAGGAGTTGTCTTTGGCCACAGCTGCTGCTGCACTCTAATTACCCTGGTACAGAACTCTTCAGTTCTTGGATCTTAGATGTGTGAGGTGATGAGGCATTAGAACTGCAGAAATGGGCACCTCAATATCAAGGAGACAAAAGCACAACCTGGAACAGCTGCTGAACTTGTGCTTGGAGCACAAAGATAATCCATGGCTGTGGGCAAGGTTTCTGAACAATTACCCATTTTTACTTGCAGTTTCTTCATGCCCAAATATTTTTGATTCTTTTATAACAAATTCTAATTACTAAGAGTAATTCTAAGTTACTCTTACTAACTGAATGGTTTAGTATCTCAGGATGTAAGCTTCGAAGTGCAGAGCTTTTTGTTCACTCGTATTCTTTCTAAAGTAGCTCTTTGGCTGGTCCTCTGCTTTGAGGAGGAAGAGACAACTGTATTACTCTTTTTCTGCATGTCGGTAGGATTATGATCTTTCAAATGGATTTGCTCTTCCTTAAACATACAGAAAAAATCCCAGATAGAATGCTCTTAGACTACCTATGGAACTATAGGTAGGAAAGTTGTGTTTTTAACTGGTGTTAGAGGACAAAACATGCTACTCACAATGTTTACCCCAGGAGCACAGGCAGAGACTGTTCTGTTACAGTCTTAAATACTGTTTAATTCTGGCATGAGAAATCTGCTGGTTAGAAATGTTCAGCCTCTGAGATTTCTTTTCCCTGTTAATTTTTGTAGCGCTATGTGGATGGAGGGATCAGTGACAACTTACCCCACTATGAGTCCAAGAGTACCATCACAGTTTCACCTTTCGCTGGGGAGTGCGATATCTGCCCAAAGGGGAATTCTGCCAACTTTCATGAAATGAACGTGACCAACACCAGCATCCAGCTCAGTCTGGGGAACCTTTATCGTTTAACACAAGCGCTCTTCCCCCCAGAACCTAAGGTAAGTCACTGCCCTCGCCTGGTTACTAAAACATCTTTCCCTATAAAAGCCTTGCTTTTCCAGAAGGCTACAGTAATCTTAGCATTTTGTCTAGTCATGTGAACTTTTCTGGTGATGCTTCTTTTTTTTTCATAGTTTGTTCTCATTCTTCTTTCTTTTAGTCTCTGACTAAAAATGTATGTCCTGCTATTGACTTTCAGTATTTATTTGGGGATTAACACAGGACTCTGTCATAAAATCAACACGGGTAAATTAATAACTGTCAGTTTGTTGTTCTTTCATGTTTACCTGCTAACCAGGTGCTTCAGAACTTAGCAGAAGTTCTAAAACTTCATGGTTTTCTAAGGTTCTCAATTAATACTTCACGCAGGCAAGTTGCCTTTAAAATCTGCTGAGGGCTACTAATGGCAGATCTGATGAGGGAAATGCTCTTGAACTGCCATTGTGAAAGCTGGAAAAATTAAAACAGACTTTATCCCCAGCTGGCTTGGGATATACTATAGAGGATAAGTAATGTTCCTGACTGCACTAGATATATTTTTAAAATGGAGTTTTAACTACTTGAAGAAAAATGCTAGATTCTACTTAGGTAGGCTTTAATTGTCATCTTAATTTTTTGCTAGGACTACTGTGTAGGTGAGCTGGTGTTGCCTCTGGTGAAAGATGTTTCTCTATGGAAAACAGTCTGAGTTTGAGCATGAGAATCGCCCAGCTGGGCTTTCACAGCTTTGGGAAGGAGGAGGCACTGGGGGGGAAGAGGGGACTGACACTCCAAGCCATCCTCTTTCAGTGGTGCTTGCATCTGCTGGAGGGCTAGGCAGAGAAACAAGGGAGGAAATAGTTGCAAACTGTTAGAACACTGTCCTTTCAGGTGAAGTAGCTGAAAGATAACTTCATGTATGCATCATCACAATAGGCTTGTTAACCCGAGTCTGAGTTACAGCAGTTCTTAATGCAGTTTTTTTTTTACAAGAATGGAGGTGGAGGGTGGATGGAAGTGGCTTTTCATTCTGCAAACTGCTGATCTTAAGTTAAATCTCCTTTTGTCTGACTCATTTACCCTGTGGTTGCAGGTACTAGGAGAGATCTGTGAGCAAGGATATTCAGATGCTCTTAAATTCTTGAAAGAGAACGGTATGTAACACCTGGGTGTAATGATTGTAAATAATTGATGATGTGGTCTCAATCTGAATTTATAAAAGAAAGGGTGAGTTAAGGAGGGGCTGGGTCTTTGAGGTTTTTGAAGGTATTGTCATAAATTTAGTTCTCATAGAAATCACATAGTTGTAGTAACTGTTCACACAAGTTAAGTTGTGCTCCCACACAGAAATTGAACTTTTGGGTTTTTATCAAATTTGTGTGAAGTGAATGTTAAGGTATTGTGAAGTGAAATTACCGAAGAATTCCAATTCTGGAGAAATCGTATGATTGGTTTCTTTTGTGTTAATTGTAAAAGAGGAATAGCCTATTGTTTCCCACTGCTGTGAAACCTCTGTTGTCTTACCACCTCCTCTCTGCTGTCATCCCAGTGAATTTCTAGGGAAAGCCCAATAGCCCAGAACTGAGAGCTGGCTGACAACAATATAAACTCAGCCACAGCCAGTCCTGAGTCTGGATCGTGAGACTAGAAGGCAGCTTGTCATGTTGCTGGGACCTGGATGAGTTTAGGGAGAAGAATTGCGAGTTGCTCTGCTCTAGTCCCAGATTCTAGTAACATCCCATATTAATAAATGTTATTGCTCCGCACACTGAGACAGACGAGGCAAGGGCTGTAACTGGGGACGGGCACAGTGAGCTGTGTGCCCAGCACCGAGCCCTGCAGCCTGCGGGCGTGGGAGCAGCGTGGTGCTGGGTGGGAACTGCAGTGTCCTGTCCACTGCTGGGCGGGGACTGGCGTGCTCACTGCTCCCACCGTTGGAACCAGCATTAAATATTCAAATTCTCTTGGAAAGGTTTTCTTCATTGTTAAAAGAACGTCACAGTTCTGCTTAAGAGTGACTTTTCTAGTAATATTGTTAAATATTTTAATGAGTCCTGCTTTACACCTACCAGGCAATGAAAAGCAGAAGCTATACAAAAAGCCTAGAGCTTGGGGCAGTCTGTGCTAAGATGGGTTCTGATGCTGTCCTGCCCCTGCACGATTCCTGGGTGCGTGCTTCCACCTGACACTCACACCTGAGATTCCGTGCAGCATGTCCTCGGCACCTTTCCTCCACATCCTCAGTGCTTTGCACTACTGTCCTCCTCACACTGCTCATCCTCTGATCTCTTTTGTTCTTACTCTGTCACAGGTTTGTCTTGTTTCAAGCCCAATCAGTGATAATTATAACATTTCCAAACTCATTCATTATGCATCTCCTTTCTTAAGTTATTTCAGCTGTAGGAGTTAATTTTTTTGCCCCATCTGTAACACTTCAGATAACTTTATTGCTAAATCCACTGTAGATTCCTTTGACATTTGTCTCTTTGGAGTAACTGTAAGTGGGATACAGACTCTGTTCCATGTAGGTATGGATCCTAGTCAAATTTGGCAGTCTGTATATATGACTAATTTTTTAATGATTTTCTGGAAATCGAGTGTCACTGTGGTTCTTGTATTTTTTTTCACTTTGTGCTCATTATCTGGTGCTCGTTTCTAAGGTAATTATCAGTGCTACTTCTTAATTGGCACCAGTTTTGCAAGGCAGCCAATGTTGATGTAGATCTGTACTTCGGATGTATCTTAAACCACTGTTGTACCCTACCCGCCTTCTCTGCCATGCTGTAGTAGTGTCCCAGTGTAGTCGTGCGATACCTGCCCTGTCAGATTTCCCAGATCTCTGCTGTTTGAGATTGTTCTTTCACATAACTATTCAAGCAGTTTTCCACCTCTCCTCTAAATCATTTGCTTTCTTGCTGGAAAACAACTTTGGTCAATAACTGTATGTGCAGTTTCAGTTAATTGTTCACTTTTTCCATGTCTTTAGCACCTCTTTTAAAGTAAGACCTAAACATTTGTGGATCTAGTCTAAGTGGAAGCTCTTGACTCTTTCAGGTATTCTGAGTGACTCCATTTACATCCACTTGTCCTTCGCAAAAAGAAATCCTCATGAGCCTGCACAACGCATTGAGCATACGAAGAAAAGAAAACTGATGGAAAATAACAGAACAGAAACCCTGAAAGTGGAAGTACTTAACGAGCTGAAGCCAAGTCCATGGCCTTTGGAGAAGAGCATATTTGAGAGTCTACCTCCTAGACTTCGTAAAGGTACGTGCTTCAGGCTGCCTTCTGTAATGTTGAACAGCAAACTTGGACTTACTTGTTTTCCTCCGCTTACTCTCATAATTTGCTTAAGATGCTTTTGATTTAATATTAAAACTGCCTGTGGTATTAGACTAGCTCAACCCAAACCAGTTGTTTAATTTTTAAATGTGAACATGTACATTTTGATGTCGCTATGGAAATAAAGGTTGAAGCAGGAGGAGGGTGCTGCTTTCAACAGTGCAGAGTCGTGAATTGAATTCTCTCTTGGTTTTGGATAAGCTCGGTATGCACATGGTATTTTTGTAAGGGTATATTTCATGCCAAAGTTGACTCTCAAATCCAAACACTGGTTATCCTTATCTCATTTTTAAGATGGACTTCTGTAGATTTCTAATTATTTGGTTTTCCTGTCATCTTAAGATGTTAGCAGATCAAAACCACTTCTGATATTTAATCTATAATTTTTATCTAGGTTTTTTTGTGGATGCCGATATTGGTATTTTCAAGGTCTGAAATCTGTGATCACAGTGACCTAGGAGAAGAAAATTTGAAGTGTGATATTCCTTACAACTATCTGTAACAAGTGAAATATGCAGAAACTCTAGAATTTAAACAAACTCCGTAGAGTTAGAGAGTCTCCAACCAGGCAGGAACGCTAGCTAAAACAGAAGGATTTTTGGAGAGGTGAACTTTACATCCTCTTATTATAAATTCTTACATTTATTGCATAAAAGTTGCTTTTTATCCCTGTGGTATGAGCCTGTTTCACATGTTTTAAAATAGCCTAGAGAAGGTTTATAGTAAGAGTGTCTTGAGATTAATTCTTTCATTTTATAACTGAGCTTGATTACCAAGTTTTACTGAATATTCAGTCAGCATTATCAAACTGTGAACAGGTTAAACTGTTTTCAAATCATCTAACGTCTTTTTCAAAAACAATTATGCTTAAGCACTGCAGGAAGCTTGTAAAGAACAGAATGGATTCTACGCTCAGTTCTCTAAACTCTTCCCCATGCGGGTCCTGTCCTATTTGATGCTCCCTTACACGCTGCCGGTGGAGTCTGCCTACTCTGTTGCTTTACGGTAAGAAACTTCTAATGAATCACTTTAGAATAATTACATTTATGGAAGTTTACTTATTGAGAGCTTTTTCAGCATTGTAGGCTTTCTGGTCCTCTAGAATTCAAGCAGTAACTGTCCCAAGAGCACTATTGGTGCCTCCGGAATGCATCCTCCCAGAGCCTCTGTGGTCTAAAGCTAAATAAATATACATATTAAGAAGTTTCATAAACAATTATTCTCGTTACTAGTAGCTGTGTTGTAATTGCCTAAAAGAAGCACCCTTCATTGCATTTTCCAGGAGCACATTCTTTATTACTGGATTCTGCAGTGGTGTTTGAACTCGATCCAGATAGTTCGTGTGAGTTAGCTTCTTTCTGAAGCCAGGAGTGAAAGCTGGTGTTTACTCACCATAGAAACTTTCTTACCAGGTTTGTTTAGGTTGACTGAGGGTTGTGCCCTTGAAACAGGGCTTTCATAAGCTTTTTAATTCTTGTAAAGGAAAAACGAGGCTGAAGCAATGCACCATGAACTCTAAGCTTCGTGCTTGCTTAAGAGAATTCAAGTCCTTGAGCAGCAGGTGCCATGACTGTCTTTAGAAAATAGTTGAAAAATCAAATGTTCTGTAAATGGAACCACATAGAAGACCAGTAAAATATTTTGTTTCTGTGCCACTTGATGTGGCACTTCTGTGCCGTTTTTGGGGAGGAAGCAAGTTTCAACAGAATTTTTACATGGGTTTTTCCCCCTCCTCCCCTTCCAGTGTAACTGACTCCTGTTAAGAGTGTCATAAGGAAAAAACCACATCTGTGACACTGTTCTGTTTCTGCTTTCTATTTGTTCTTCCGTTGTGCTTTGCTTTAGTTCTCCCCTCTGAGCTGACAGAACGCTCATCCCACAGCGGGGGAGCTCCGGGAGACAGGAGCTTTGTGGCCTTCCTGACCGTTGGTGGCGGGTTGGGAGGCACGGCTGGGTCGGGCACTCGGCCTGGCTCGGAGCCGTGGGAGCGAGGTGGGGAAGGACTGGGGGCCACGGGGGAGTTCACTGGGTGAGAATGGAAGCTGTGCTGCTTTGGATGTTGGCCGCGGTATGTGTAAGTACAGCGTGGATGGGATCTGCTTGCATGTAACCGTGTGTTGGTTCTGGCCCCAGGCTGGTGAACTGGTTTCCTGACATGCCTGCTGATGTCCGGTGGATGCAGGAGCAGCTCTGTCGGATTGCTGGAACAGTGTATTCCCAGGCTAAAAGCAAGCTGTTCTGTACCTCCAGGTAAAGGGGAGGGCTGCTCATGCAAATCATGCATCTCTAGAATTTATCTCTTTTTGCCAGAGCTTCGAGTACTAAGAAGTTTCTCTCTTAAAACAGGATTTAATAATTTTTCTCAAAGGTAACATAAACTACTCCCTGCTGCCTCTTGTCCTTAGTATTCTTGTTAAAGTACATTTTCTGGTGCTGCTTCTTTATAACTGACCAATGACTGCTACACATTGTAGGTGAAGAGGTGTTCCTGTTGGCAGGCTTACGCTTTCTGGGGAGAGGGCTGGCTTAGGGAGCAGGCGGTGGACTGGGAACAGAGACCTGGTTTCTTCTCTGCTCCACAGTAGCTGGACTGATCAGGAAGAAAAGAGGAGGAAAAGGTTGTTCAAGATGTTCTAAGTCAGGTATAGCAGGTAGGAGGTGGAAAGCACTAGGAGAAAGACTGGATTCTTAGGAGTCTGGATGGGAAGGGTTGTCAGAGGTAGAAAGCAGATGAATGTGAAGTACATACAGTCTTGTAAGAATTAAATTTGTATATGTTCTTGAATAAGAATTAAAATTGGATATGTAAGGAAGATTTTTAGGAATCTGTTTCTGTAAAAGAGAAACCTCTGCTCTAGCCTGGTTGTAACTAGGTTCATTGTGCTTCTCTTGCTGAGCTGGTGTCAGTTTCAGCCTTTTGGACTTTTTAGTTCTGTTAAACTTTGTAGCACTGTGTGTATGGAGGAATTGGTCACAGCTCACCTCAGTGTGGATCTAGGAATGCCATTACTGTTTCACTTTGCTGCGAGTGTAGTATTTGCCCAGGGAGCTCTTTTACAAAAGGAACAGGACCAATATGCAGCTTAGATTTTCCTGCTAAAAAATGGACTTGTTACTGAAAGAGTTGCACGGCCACGTTGGAGTAGTGCTAGAAGTAGAGAGGCACAGGCTCTGAGTTCCAGATGCTTACAGATATGAAGCCTCCTTAAGATGTGGTCTGAAAAAGCATAAATCTAGACTTCAGCAGAGTAGGTCATAATGATTTTACTGTAACTTTTCTGATGATTATCTCAACTCCTGGATTTTCTGGGTAGGAGGTAGAAGAATGGGGAGAGAAATGGGCCTAGACAGCCATTAGGAATTAACAGAATAAAAGCTTCCAGGAGATAGCTGTAGCACTGGAGACTCCTAACTGCAGCACCTGTTGCAGTTAAAGCATTGCCATGTGCCGTGTACAGCACACTTTGAAATTAAAAATACCCTTTTATTTGAGCCAAGAGTTCTTGAGCTTTTGTCTTCCTGTTTTTAGTAATAAAGTTAGATCAGGAGGAAGATCCAAGATGCTCTTTTTTTTGCCCTGGCGGTGCCATACACCAAGCCATCCAAAATGCAGGTTTGCTGTGTCTGAGAACTGCTCCGTCCTACTCCCTGGAAGAAGCTTTGCCGAGCTCTGGGTTGGCATCGTGAGAGATGTGCTTCGTATGCCCCAGCAGTGCAGAGTGGGCAAACCTGCTGTTAGAGGCTCGGGCTTAATGGAAGGGTGAGGCTTGGGTTTCCTTCCCCCTTTGGAAGGATCAAATGGTGGCTTTAGTTTTAGGTTGTAAAGATACTTTCTTTTTACAGTCCTCAGTTTTATCCGGGGTTCAGAAGTGTTTAATTCCTGTGTACAAGTAGCCTCTCCTCCTGTTCTGAAATCAGCTGAAGCCTTTTCTGGTATAACACCAGCTGGCTTTTGAGGCCATCCCTCTGAGCAGAAATTTAGGGTTTGGTAGATACTTGCTATCATCCTGCTGTCATCTCCTCAGTTGTTGGATACCACATGTCATCCAGTGTCCTTGTTCCTTTCATTTTTCAATGATAAGTCCGACTCCTTTGCATGGTAAATTTGGGTATTGTCATCTTCCTGCTTTTAGCATTACTGAGCAGCTTCTTGGTGTTGCTCTCACTCCAGCCTCACTGTGTCTTCATCTGAGCGGGGCATTTGCAAGGGGCATGCTACCACAGGGCTCCTCCGAGGGGCTCTTTGGTCACTGAGTCATGGTGAGCCAGAAGCACCGTTTCTCTTGTGTAGAGTGAGCTCTTGGCCCTCACCCAGGTGGTGGCGGGCGTGGGCCTTTTCCTGCTGCTTTTACTGTAATGGGGGTGATCGGCTCCTGCTCAACTGCTCAGATTTCCGAGTGGATCCCTGGCGGGGAGCTGGCTCCCAGGGCTCTGCCTCCAGAGTCCTGCACCGGATTCTGCAGGGGACCGGGGGCTTGGCCTTGTTTTTCCAGCATCCACGAAGAACTTCTTGCTGCTTTTACAGAAAGTAATCACCCCCACCCTTTATTTTATGCTCCTCCCCTCACACCATGAGGTCTAGCTTCTCTTTTGGAATCAAATCTCATGAAAACTTGTGCTGTTGACAGTTTGAAAATCCTTTTGGGAAACTTAACCTGCTGGGTGGTATCTTCTAGTGCACCTAAAGTGCAGGTGTGGAAATGAGTAGTGAAGTGTGTGGATGGCCATTTGGGCTTTTTTCTGTCAGAGGCACTGTTGTGAGTTGTTTTGTTGTTTTGGGGGTTGTTTTGTTGGTTTGGGGTTGTTTTCCCCTAAAGCACTGAGAGAAGAGAGAACTTTCAAGAGAAAACTGAATATGCTTGGTGACAACTTCAGTTTCCCCCTTCTCAGATTGGAAAAGACTCACCTGGTGATTCAGGTGCTGGTTTAGTGCAGGAAAGTTCTGTTCCAGATGCTGAGGCTGGTGATAATTGGCTCTTGTGCAGTGGAATGTGGAGATGGTGTTTGCAGAGTTGAACAACTGTGTTTGCTACTCTGCTTGTAAATGTTGAGACTGTTCTTGTTGATGTTGAGTTAGTGCTGTGTTAGTAAATCAGTAAATGCTCCAGGTGGGTAGCTGGGGGGAGATGAGGGCCCTGAGCTCATCAGAATGTGACTTCCAGTGTAACTGGGTTATACCTGCTTCAGACAACACGGGACGGCAGGTTTCAGGATCCTTCCCCTTGTCCCATAACCTAACTCCCCAAACGCATTTGAAGTTAACTGTTTCCTCTAGTGTCAAGTGAAGATTCCCTGTCAGACACCTGAACAGTCACAGAAACATCATTAAACACTGATAATCTTTTCCTTTTTTTCTTTTTTAAACAGGAAAGACAATTATGCATCACTAAGAAAATGTCAAACTGTCCCGTCTACGATGGAATTTCTTTCTTCATACTGCAACCTTAAAATGCCTCACTCTTCTGCAGACCTTGAAACCTGGCTCTGGGAATCCTCGGGCTTCATGTACTCGGCTACAAAAGATGCTTCTGCTGACGGGGAGGGGCACCCAGACCTAAGCAGCTATCCTCACTTTCTCCCGAATTCTGATGAGTCTGGGTTGGAAATGGATTTTGATTCTTCCTCAGAGACAAGTTTCCAAACTGCTCCAGAGTATTAATGTGGAAGCAGATTCCACAGTTTCAAAAATTCCAATTTGGCAGGGAAATTTAAATCCGAAAGGACTAAAGATCACTTTGTTTATTGCCAATAAGTGTTGGAAAAATAATTTGTTTACAGCTTCCTGACAAATCTGCCTTGGGAATTCTACTGTTTTAAGGATTATAAAAACAGTAGCTGCTACACCAAGTGACAGACTACACAGTTCTGTCGAAGCACCAGCTCAGTCAACTGTAGTAAGACTCGTAGTTAAACAGTGTCTCCCTGGAAATAAATTATTTTTTTAAAAAATCTACTTTCAGCATAAAAATGTAAATTCTGTAAACCAGGTGGTTAGACAAACAAGCATCGATAGTGAAAGCTTTTTTAAAATGTAATTATTAATATTATGTGTTTGGATTACTTTTATAGCACTTAGATGAAATTGGACTTTTAATTCCTAAAGGGAAATACACAAATGAGCTTTTTGGTGGCCTCCAGTGTGCGTTTGTATGTTTAAACATACTGTTGTGTTCATGGAGAAGCTGGCTGCTCTGTAGGAGGTACCCTGGGACCAGTGTTACTCCAGGTGGTTGGCCATCTTCCCCAGTTCATGGTGCTTCTCCTCTGTGGCTCTTTCCTCTTCAAATGCTTTGAGGGAAAAAGGTGTAAGACGTGGGACACGTTCCCCTGAAGTGTGAACAGGCACTGTTGCAGTGATGATGTCAGAGGATGTGTTTTGTACTTAAGGGCTTAATATTTGATTGAGAACTGAAAAGTAGGTGAAATTGTGATTAGTAGAAAACAGTAATTTGAGAACTTTACAGAAGATGTCAATGTAAGTCACTGTATAGCAAGTGGGGGATGATGTTTAGGTCTGCTCTTTAATTGCTGCCCAATTGCTCTCAGTCATTTTTTTTTCTCCTCCAACTTGAGAGATTTTTCTTCCCTCCTTTCACTTCCCTCTTGCTAAAGGAGGGAGGAAAAAAGGGTCCCTCTGGTCTCAGGGGTGTGTGATAACCCACAGGAGCTTTCCCAGGACGGCTTGTTACAAGAAGGAAAAGCCGAAGACGTGGTGAAGTGTCAGCAGCAGGGAGCTCTGCGGGGGTCTCCTGGTGATAACGGCCGAGTCAGCCACATCCCAGCTGTGCGGAGTGATGGGCTGTTCCAACGCTTTCCACTATGAAGGTTCTGCGTAGTTTTAATCAAGGCAACACATCAGTGTGTGAACACACCGGGGGGATAAGGAGCTGCTCAGGTTAAGGACTTCTGGGATGTTCTGTTCTCATGTCTTGTACAGTTAATGTAGAGGGAGACGAGGGGTTTGCAATGGAGTTGTGCAGGTGTTTGGGGGCGGTCTGGCAGCTGCTCCTTCTGGAAGTGAATCTGAGCAGCTGGGGAGAAGCAGCGGTTGGGCTGTGATGCTCAGGAGAGGGGACCTGGAGTGCGAGTTTGACAGCGAAGAGCAAAAGGTGGCGTTTGCATTGGACCAGCTTCCAGGCAGTTTCTCAGTTGTGATTTCCTGAAGCTTGAAGCGTGAAATTTTAGAACATCAAAAATTATTTTAGGATGGGGGGGCGGGGGAGAAGGCGGGGGGCTGTTTCCGTATGCAGTGGACTGGTGCAGTTTTACTTCAATCTTTTGTTCCTTTCTTCCATGTAAGTACCTTCAGATTTGTGAGAAGAGTTGGAAATGTTACTCTAACCACAGTTAAGAGACAAGATCTGTTTTACATTTGTCTTTAACTTTAAACTTCCTGTAATTTAATCTTATATTGTGCAAAACGTTAGTTTTACCAGTATGTGTTAGAACTCAAGCAGGAGGGGCAAGTTTTGCTTCCTGTGTACTGGAATAGTTCTCTTTACATTTACATCAACCACAGCTCCACTTTTGTCTCTTTTTTCTGAAATAAAATCTCTCCTGTTACCACGCTTTCTAAGTTTTCTTGAGTATCGTCCACCTGGTGTGAGTTAAATCAGAAAGTGTTCATTCTGTTGAGCATTAGAAGATTTAATGGGTTTGTCTTTTTAAGAGTAGTGATTATGCTGAACTTCGAGAGATGCTCCAGCTGCACCTGAAAGCTTAATTAAAATGGATTTTTTTTTTGCAATCCATTAGTTCACAAATCACCTCGTGTTTAAACCAAAAGCAGGGAAAACTGTTACTCAGGGCTGGAGGAAGACAACAAACCTCGTCTCGCTTAGTCGGGACTCGGCGGTTTAGCAGGGGGACAGGTATTAGCGCTAAATCACCGTTTTAATTAATTCTCAGCCTGAAAACACGCAGTTTTAATGCCAGTTGAAGATGAGCGGTGCCCGGTTCATTTCTCGTTAGACAGGAGGCGTTTTCCTCACCCGCCTCCTGCCGGGGTTACACCCAAAAAACCGATTTTTTTTTAATTCTTTTTTTCTTTTTTCTTTTTTTTCTTTTTTCTTTTTTCTTTTTTCTTTTTTCTTTTTTCTTTTTTCTTTTTTCTTTTTTTCTTTTTTCTTTTTTTCTCTTTTCTCTTTTCTCTTTTCTCTTTTCTCTTTTCTCTTTTCTCTTTTCTCTTTTCTCTTTTCTCTTTTCTCTTTTCTCTTTTCTCTTTTCTCTTTTCTCTTTTCTCTTTTCTCTTTTCTCTTTTCTCTTTTCTCTTTTCTCTTTTCTCTTTTCTCTTTTCTCTTTTCTCTTTTCTCTTTTCTCTTTTCTCTTTTCTCTTTTCTCTTTTCTCTTTTCTCTTTTCTCTTTTCTCTTTTCTCTTTTCTCTTTTCTCTTTTCTCTTTTCTCTTTTCTCTTTTCTCTTTTCTCTTTTCTCTTTTCTCTTTTCTCTTTTCTCTTTTCTCTTTTCTCTTTTCTCTTTTCTCTTTTCTCTTTTCTCTTTTCTCTTTTCTCTTTTCTCTTTTCTCTTTTCTCTTTTCTCTTTTCTCTTTTCTCTTTTCTCTTTTCTCTTTTCTCTTTTCTCTTTTCTCTTTTCTCTTTTCTCTTTTCTCTTTTCTCTTTTCTCTTTTCTCTTTTCTCTTTTCTCTTTTCTCTTTTCTCTTTTCTCTTTTCTCTTTTCTCTTTTCTCTTTTCTCTTTTCTCTTTTCTCTTTTCTCTTTTCTCTTTTCTCTTTTCTCTTTTCTCTTTTCTCTTTTCTCTTTTCTCTTTTCT